AATGAAGTTAGATTGTTCCTTAACTTTGCTTAGTGGAGGAGAAACACTTCTTCCCCGGGGCCTTCTTATGGCTACCCTCTCTCCAACAGCTTTTTCCCGAGCAACCTCGTTGTTGTCGACCCAACTCCACAAGTCCTCGGTCATGGTATCAGCACTATCTAGACGAATCATGCGTTCAACCAAGGTTTTGAAATAAAGAGAGGTGCTGACCCTCAATTAGTTCCCTATGATCTCGAACATTCTCTAGTAAGATCTTCACTTTATTTACCTTGCACTTTGTTGGAGAAGTACGGATTCCCCAACCGTTTGCAGACAAGGCAATCAAGAATTTTGTCTTCTTGTCTTTCACTTTGTTCTCAAGGCCTAACAATTGGTTCATAGGGTCCAAAACGAAATTATCTTGGATCTCCTCTACCTACGCCACAAAGTGGACTGAAATTTCTATAGCAAGAATCGAACTAAATGATTCCTGAGAGAACTTTCGAATCATGGAGCCCAAGACATTGCACCAAGAGAAAGATAAGGAAAAGGAGAGGTAACAAAACCCAGAGAAAGGAGGAAAGGACAAGGGCTCTCAGTCGTCGCGCAACTAGGTATATATATATACGAAAGGGCAGTATAGGGAAAGTCAAAACACTGTCGACAAGACTGACATGACGGGATTACATGTTATATGAAGCAAAGTAATTATTACCAAAAACATAAAATATATTTTGTTTTATTTATATACAAAAAGAGGGGGTATCACGCCAAACTCTCAGTTAGAACTAGAAAAGAAAAAAACTTGACTAAGCTATCGTTCATAGTTTCGCCCGAGATAAATCCTCAGTGATGAAGCCGTTCATACATAAACTCGACGTCCAGCTTGAAAAGGTTATTCTGACTATCCCTCGGCTAAGCAGCGAGGATCTCTTTAACAACCGACAGTTTCAAACACAAGTGCGTCATCTCCTTACGATTGACAAGCATCTCCCCCCGTAAAACGACAAGCTCCTCGTGAAGTGCAATAACTTTTTTCTCTACCCGGTCAACTCTCTCCAGAACTTCAGTAATTCCTTCGTCACTATCCTCTCGAGGATAACCCATAAAACAAAGGAACACTCATCCATCTTAGCAAGGCGGGGCACTATGAAGTTGGAGGACACCCTGTGCCAACCAGTCACCTCTTCTTCCCTTGCAGCGCCGGAAGAAACCTGACAACTCACACTCTTGCCCCTGCCAAGGGATAAGTTTCCCTCTATCCTTCCTTGCTCAGTGCCCTGCTCCTCAACACCCTAGTCCTCAGCACCCTACTTGACACCCTGCTCCATAACACCTCGCCCCAATGCCCCCCGTTCTGCAATGCCCACTCCCTCTGGGGTTATTTGCTCAACTGTGGACGCATCATCCGCAAGACTAGCATCGGTATCTATCGACATAGAATTGATAGTCAAGACTTTAGTAACCGCATCAAGAAAAGAGATACAAAAGACAATTCAACCTATATACCCAAAATTTGCCCCCAATCAGATGTAGTGTAAGAAAAATCACTCTCACCAACTCTCCCTAGTCCTCTACCCTTAGAGGAAAAGCTGCTCTTTGTCGGTCGAAGTCATGTCTCATCTTCGGTCGACGCCTCCTCAAGGTCTCCTTGGGGAACCACAGCCCTCGCAACAACCTGAACAAACATTCTTTCTCCTCCGGCAGGAACACTGACAACGACTTTATATATGCTTAAAAATACAAGAATTTGATACCGCTGTTAGAAGATTTAAATCCCTGGCAACGACGCCAAAAACTTTGACAGCGACTTTTTATATGCTTAAAAATATAAGATAAATATGGACGTATTAAATATTCAATAATTTTAAAGTCACATTTATCAACGCAAGTATACGTATTGCTCAAGTAATATAGGGCTCTAATGGAGTTTTAGATATCGATCCCACAGGGAGTAGTTTAGAATTGCGGACTAAGACCTTAGAAAAGCAATACTTTAATCACAACAACGACGTTCAATTTGCTTATCTGTCACTAATAGGCAATTGAAATAAATAGATAATTTTAATAACTAATAAATAATGAATGATATAAAGTAGGGTTTAATTGTGATATTCAATATATAAGAAAACATTCTTCTCCTTGTCAAGAAATAATAGTGAATGGATAAAATGAATTAGTTCAATTTATATTGTGTCAAATATGAGCATACCTATTCTTTACCCTTTGGTCCAGACATAAAGAATATTGACTAATCCTATGCTTGTTTACTGAATCTGTGGCTAGGCTGGGAGGATACCGGCTCTCATTTCGGAGCTCCCATATTCCCCTCACCTGAGGGCTAACATCTACACTTCAGCACTAAAACGATAGGACCGAATTGGAAATTTTAGTCTGTCACTCTAAAATCTCCAATTCTACTCTCGATAATAATATTTCCCTATTTATTTGCATCCAACTTCCAAGGGTTTTGACCTCCCTGAATCTTGGGTGTAATCTTTACTTTAGTTGTAAAACTCAACATATTTTAACAAATCAATTGACCAGATTGAAAGTAAATTAAGATCGAAGTGAAAAGATCATCACAATTTCTAAACATTTTTATGGTTTCACCAATTCAAATCACCATTTCACAAATCTCAAGACAAGGAGAAAGACAGAGAAACCTACTCATATCTCATGTGGAAAACACAACAAAGCTCATAATTCATATATAAAATCAAAGTCATACAAACTGCAACAAGTAAATAACTTATCTATAGTTTCTCCCCAAGAACACTCCTCGAAATTCCTCTGAATCTCTTTCTTTCTTTACAACACACAGAATTCCTCTTTGAAATAGGAAGGAAGAATAAATCTCTCACTTTCCCTCAACTCTTACAATCTCTCGAGGAATTCCTCACAATATTGGAACATTCTAATCTCTAGGAACTCTCTCTAGCACCTCTTTTACTCCCTAGATTCTTTCCCTCCTTCTCCTGGCTCTCCAATTTTCGGCCAAAATAGTCTTTTAAAGTTGTGGATGAGCTTTCCCAAAAGTTGCCTAAGCATCCCTTCAAAATTTGGCCTTATCCAAAGCTTGAGTAGGCATAACCGTCAAGCTCGCCATTGGCAGACTTCTGAGAATTTTGTCTTGTAGCCTTGGGAAAAACTCGTCGTCAGCGAGGTCGAGGCCGCCGTCGGCGGCCTAGTTCAAATCTTCACATTTTGGTTCTTTTCGCTCTAAATTCGCTCATTTTTGTATCTTTTTGCTCCAATGATCCTAATTCATCGTTCCTGCAACAAAGCAACAAAATATCAAAAATATCTTTCTTTAAAGTGCAATATCATAAAAAACAGTATAAAATATGTATGAAAATCTCAACATATTTTCCTCTGGTCAAACACTCACCTCCGATGGGTGCCCTATAAGGAGAACGTCTGAATGGCTTTCAATTTGCTCTGCAGCCTTCTCCTGCAACGAGTCCGCGAGGAAACCCGAAAACCAGGCTCGCTCCTCGCGCTACTCAATTTGTGGTTTCAGCACAACCCTCTTCTTTCTCATTTCCCCTGTAGAGACTTTGCTTGTCGACTTTCGCTTCGTGTCTGGTTTGCGGGGCTTCACCTGCATGTAACTCATAGTTTGAGAAGGGCGTCCCTATCGGCAAATGATGTTCATTCGCCGGACGTAGTGGCAGATATGAAGAGAAAAAGATGGGAATTCCAAGGAGTAAGAAGGAAAGGAGAAGGCGCAAACTTTCCACGCCCCATGACTTATTTATAGCAACTTGGACACGAAAATCTAGGGTTGTTCAGTAATGACATTCAATCATTTCTTACATGTTAAAAAGATTCTCGTTTTTGTGTGCTTTGTAGCTTCCAATGAACAAGAAAATCGGGAAACTAAATATGTACGCAAAATATGTCAGCACAGATCTCAATGCAGAATGAATGACTCAGAAGGATGACGCGATCGATCATAATGCTAGTAAGGGAGGTGTTTGGATCGATCAATTGTAAGGACGCGCCATGAAGATCGACCTTAAGGTCGATTGGTAGATTGTTTATTTTTGGATCAAATATTGATGGAGTTAAGGTCAGGCAAACGGCCGACGAACTTCTCATCGACTATTATCAATCCGTCAATTTTATTATATTCAAATATCTTTGTAATTACTAAAAAACCCCTCTAGAAGCTAATGATAAGAGGGCTGACTTGTAATTTTGTAAGACTGAGGCCTATCCTTATAAATAGGGAGCCCATACCATGAATAAGGGTTACGCATTCTTGTGATTCTCTACAACACACTCTCTCTTAACTCTCTCTGCATAATGTTTTATACCTTGGGTGTGTTCCTCGGACACTTCTGGATTCAACAATATAAAATACTCTAATGTTACATATGTAATTGCGCCGAAAATTTTGTTATGGAGAAGAATGTCAAAACGACTCTCCTACTCTTTGTAGTGTGCAATTTTAGTCTCATAAAAGTATCAATTTAGTCCCTTCCCTTTTAACTGGGGTTAAAATTGTCCTTTCTGAGGATCATTTCAACCCATATTAAAAAAATGTTAAGGACTAGTTTGACATTTTTAAAAATTTTGGGACTAAAATGACGCGATGTAAATAGTAAGATGATTCTTTTGGCACTTCACTCTTTTGTTATGCAGCAACATAAGCATCACTGATTTCTAGATTTCTCTATACAATATCTCATGATTTTTTGTGAAAGATTGTTCCATTCAATCTGATTATCAAATGAAATTGTGTGACAAATGGAATACAGAACAATGCATTATGTAAAAAACAGCTATATTTCTTAATTGTCATGTAATGTGGATTATTTCAGGACAAAATGAACCCAATATGCCACCAAATTTCAATCCCCACAAGTTTAATAAGTTAACTACAATTAAAAATTCATCAATAATCTTCACAATTATTTACCACAGGATAAATCCTATATTGTCATAATTACCTAATGACACCAATAAACCAGATTTATGGTGCCTGATGAAAACTGACTAATTGAACCCTGCAGTGTTCCGATGGACGAGGAAGAGGCCGTCGTGCTCGACTACACTTCCGATCCGCTCATAATGGATGGAGGTTTCCGGCAGTCGATATTGGCGAGCATCGCTCGAGCAGGCGGTGCGATCGAAGAGCTTTATGGATCTCCACAAGACATTGAGGGAGTTGTTAAAGATGGCAAGATTTTTGTTGTTCAAACAAGGCCACAGATGTGATTCAGGTACATTTGGAAGGACCTTTTTTTTTCTTAGAACTCACTTTGAAAATGAAATGCACAGTACTAGTTATATAACATCACCAAAGGACTATTTATTTATACATATATATCATGTAAATTGCAAGAAACGCCCTTCTATTTTGTTATTGTGTCATATATTATGTAAATTGCAAGAACCACCCTTCTATTTTGTTATTGCTTTGCTAGTGGGTAATAGTGAAATTTTAAGCCAGATCTGAACTGATTCAATCTGGCAATCTTTAGGCATTTAAGTGAGAGAAAATGAAAATTAAAAATAAAAAAATAAAATGATTAATCTGTTTGGGGGCATAAACTGATTAAAAATAATCCGTTGATAAGTTAGATACGATGACTATTAGAAATTTTTTTTTTTTTTGAACAGTCAGACTGCTGTCAGAAAACTGTCACCGCACGTAGATATGTGCAGTGTGAAAACATTGTTTTCAATGTTTTCAAAACGCATAAGTTGCCACCCAAACAGTCCAGCTGCGTTTTCAAAACGCAACCGCACTAAATAAGTTGTCCCAAACAGACCATAAATAATTGATTACAGATCATAACGAGCTTAGAAAACTATTACGTCGTTATTTCATTTTTTTTTGTTTCCATTTATTTTTCTACAATCAAAATGAAGCCTTAATATCTCAAAATTGCAGATATTATTAGGTGATTAGCTTCATATTTTGATTCTGTTTCTTATTTGGCCACCCAAAATACTGATTTTTATAAATTAATCACCGAGATGATTCTTTTGAACTACTGAATCAATCTATTCATGCACGCTACGATCAAACTATTGTGAATTTGATAAAAGATAAAGAATATGGGTTGAGGTTTTACCATAAAATTTTGATATTTGAGCGAGAATTTGAAAAATTGATTTAATGAGGGTGGTTGATTTGTAAATTGTAAGTTTCCGGCGATTGGTAGGTAATTGCTGCTTCTCTTTTTAAATGAATAGGAAAGATTCAAGGATGTAAGGCCAATAATTAATCATATTAAAGTATTTGAGCTTATGAATATAAATATTAAAGTTTTAAGTGTTAGAGATGTAAATACATAAGAATTGCGTGGTATGTATGTAAATGTCACGTCTTTACACAAAACTATATGTAAAAATGCTAGAATTATCTGTAATTAGCAACTTAACTCGAGAATGAAACGTCGGGTCACATTCGGGCCGACGAACCGCCGCCTTCCGCCGGCGAACCGCCGCTTCCTCCGGCGAACCGCCGCTTCTCTCCGATGGATTTAAATGTTCTCCGGCGGTTAGTTCCGGTTTTCTCCTCTTTCCTTCTTCACTGTCATCGCCTCTTTTGTTTCGTGGTATGGACGCAGCGATTGCTAAATTAACTCCACTCGGCTTTCATGAAGATGATATACGCGACGCCATTTATGAAATCCTTCAGGTTTTCTATTTCCTTTTTTTTTTATTATTATTTTATTATTTTTTTAATTGGTGTCAGGCGTCAGCTCGGCATGGCCGGGCATCACCTCAGCCTGCATGTCGTGTTGTCGCCCGACAGTCAGTCATCTGCATGTACTGACGAAACAATATTTTCTCGAAAACTTCAAATATATACATTGTCACCACCTATACCTTAAAACTTATAATTCAGTCGAAACCTTCGTCCCATTCGAAACAGCCACCCTGTGGCTGATCGACCGCCTCCGGCAATTATGATGAAAAGATGAGAGAAGGGATGTACAAGATTTGAAATTTACAGAGACAAGAGAAAAAATTCCTCCAAATTGAGTGAAGAAAATTGGAAAAGAGTGGAAAAGTTTTGGAAAGCACTCACTAGTGCTCACTCATGGGAAAGGGGCTAGAAAATTATGGTCCGATCGTGAAAATGTTGAAATTTTTGGGGAATACAAATGGATGGTGTATGGCAGCCGCAGGCGACCGATCGATTATGGGTGGTTGTTTCGAAGGGACAAAGGTTTCGGGTGGTTGAATTGTAAATTTTTAAGTTTGGGTGGTGAGCATGTTATATTTGAAGTTTTGGGTGATATGCATGTAAAAACCCTTTTTAATTTTGGTTTTTTTATTTGATTAAACATTTTATCTCATTTAATTTGAATAATTAATGATATTTTAACATTAATTATATTTTTTTATTCATTTATGAGGTGTTTTATAGCATAGCTATGATGGAATTTAGTCATGAATTTAGTGAAAACTCAGCCAAATATCAAAAGAACGTATATTTAACCCAATGCATTGTTAAATAGAGTTTTTTCGTGTTCTTACTTTTCTTCTCGTGTTCCGTCTTTTTCATGACGTAAATCTGGATTTACAAAACCAGTTTGCATCGCGGAATTAAGATTGTTTTCGTTGTATTGTGATCATCATTTTGTTTGCTATCTCCTTCAATATAAGGTCGGATTTATTGAAATTAGGCACCTTTTGATTTTTTATTAGGCTCATTCTTGTCAAATTTATCAAATTTATGCAAATACATAAGAATTGGTTGGTAAGCATGTAAATGCCCCCAAATATGTACTCATTTATTCCTAAGTAAATGAGACTTGTTTTTGTAGGCTTATGATAATGATCCGGTTATAGGGTGGCGATTTACTCGAGAAAATAATTATAAAATGGTTGTGAGCATGCTCGAGTACAAGCGGATGAAGGAGAATCAAACGAGAAAGAAGGCAAATGAAAATGTTATTTATGAGCATGGGGTGAAAGAATTTGATGATTCTACGACGTCGTTGAACCCAACCAAATGCTTTGGTATGGAAAGTGATGAGGAAGATAGGGCTTGAGGAGTGCTTCTTTAATTATCTACTATTTTAAATATATGTGTTTGGCAATGTGGTTGCATGGAACATTTATTATGGGTTGTTATGGTATAGAAAGACAAATTAAGAATTTCTTAATAAGGTTTTTTTCTTTGGTTTTTTTTTTTCCTTGCACAATGGTGAATATGTTGAATTGCTATGGTTGTGATGTGTTGCTTGTTTTGGTCAAATGATGCTCGTCTTTTCTTGTGTGTGCGCTCGTGCATTTGTGTGTGTTCGCGCGAGAGTGAGAGGGAGAGAGGGAGATTGTGGATACTCATATTCATATATTTATATTTGAATGGATTCATTTACATTTACATAGTCAAACACGTAATAGATTTTGACTTTTTGCTTAAGTAGCCATGTTGAAAGACTTGGGACTTGCTTAAGCTCGATTCGTTTACAACAATGGTAAGTAGTGACTAGAAATTTGATTTCTACATTCTATTTTGTTTTAGTTTAGATAATAAATCTATAAATGTTGAAATTTCATAGCATGAATTAAGTGGAAGTAGCATTTTAAAAATTCTAGCTCTTCACATGCAACAATAACAAACATTTATCCCATCAAGTTGGGTCGGCTACATGAATTTTTTTTTCTCCATTGTGTCCTATTGAGTGTCATATTTTCATTTTATTGTAACAGATTAAGATCATTTTTTTTATATAATATGCAACACTTATTAGCTCTACATTTACCTTTCTTAACATAAGTCGAATCTAAAATATCTACTCTCATGATCGAATCATCAGCCAAATTATCTTACATAACTATAATCTTGTCTTCCGTTGGAGTACACCAACACTTTCACGATAGATTTGTTTCACATTTTGTCTCAAGTGTCAAGCCATTCATCCACATATGCATTCTCCACCCAACAAAACTTAACTTTGTATTTTGTTTGTCTTTTAAAGGTCAACATCATGCGCCCCAAAGCATTGCAAGTCTCATCACTTCTTTATAATGATTTGACCCATGCTTAATAAAACGTTCGTACCTTTTAATGATTTGATCACCCTTAGTTATAACTTTGTTACTAGAGATATTACTACTAAAATTACATCTAATATATATATTTAGTTTTAGATCTGCTCAAGTGAAGGCTTTTTTACCATGTCATTCAAACGCATCTTAAAAAAAAAAAAAACAGAACTGACAAAAATCAATAGACAAAACTTGACAGTTAATTATATACTAATTAATAAGATATTGATTTGAATGACAATTTTCAATTTTTTTTTGCCACATCATTATTATTATTAGTCAAAATGATCATCATTATTATTATTGACCATATACATCAATATTAGTGTAAATAGACATCATTTTTTTAGTGATAGCAATTGTTGGTGTTGATGTTGATGAAGGGTGTTAATGATGTACATCGGCTTTGTTGGCTATAATAGGCTATGGTGTTTGAGTTAATCGTGATCAACCTTAGAAACGATGATAGGTGTTAGTCTTTCTTGCAGCCTATTAATTTACTGTAATGTGTAGAAGTAAGTTCTTTTTTAGTGATAGCAATTGTTGGTGTTGATGTTGATGATGGGCGTTAATGATATACATTGGCTTTGTTGGCTATAATGGATTATGGTGTTTGAGTTAATTGTGATCGGCCTTAGAAGCGATGATAGGTGTTAGTCTTTCTTGGGGCCTATTAATTTATTGTAATTTGTAGAAGTATGATCGACTTGTAAATTTTTTATAGATGGATATTCAATTCATTTCTACAATAAATAAAATTAGCCTTTTAGATAGTCAATACTGGCCCCCGTAATCATACATTATTTTAAGATACTTTGTGCATTAATGAAATCAAATATATGCAATATTAGGCTTGTCGGATTCATCTCATTATTATATTCATTTTGACTTGAAACAAAATAAGAATTGAAAATCATTTGATACCTAGAATTATCTTGTGAAGTTTCTCTCATCGACCAAACTTTATAATAATATATTGAAATAACAAGAAAGTAAGGAAAAAAATAACTTCTTTGTCAATTCGACCAATAAGAACATAAATCTCTCTCTCTCTCTCTCTCTCTCAACTTCATTTAAAAATCAAAGTTAATATTATTTAATCAAAATGTAGATATATTAAATCAAACTATTGAGAAAATATATTTAGAAAAAATATTTGCTTTTGAAGGTTGAAAAATAGTTACTCAATTATCTCATACTACAAATGCATGCTTCTAATGATGACATTCCAACATTTCCTTTAATCTTAGCATTGAAATAGGAAGTGTAAACAATGATAGGCTCTCTCTCTCTCTCTCTCTCTCTCTCTCTCTCTCTCTAAGACACACACAAAGGAACAATCAATTGTATGCTCCGATTGAATAAATAGAATTTTTAGCCATTTATGAACAATCATATATAGGAAGAATTACAAACATACCACTATGTATTTACACATCTAACACCTAAGTTTTATGTATTGCATCTATTCCACCTTACTTGGGCATTAAAAGATGTAATTTAAAAAATTTAAGTGGTAGATAACTAAATATAAGAAATAATGTGGAATGTATGTAAGTGCTCTTCTCTCTCTCTCTCTCTCTCTCTCTCTCTCTCTCTCTC